ACGTGGTTGGCATGGGCCCTGGTGCAAGAAATGGAAAGGGGGGTGGGGGGGATCCCTTGTTGAATTCCTTCCTCTCATCATAGCCCGGAAACTGGGGCCCGGCCTGGGCCTTGGTCCCCAGTGCAGGTGCACCACTGCAGATGTGACGAGGAAAAAACGAGAAACGGGGAAAAAAAAACGAGACGAAAAAATAACCGCCGCTCGAATCAAATCGCGACCTCGAATTATGAAAATGTAATCGAATCGTTAGAGAGGTGCTGCATCGTTAAAAACCCCAAATACAAGTTGGTGCTTGCCCTCCGCCACCACCGCCATCCAAAACGACAGCGACATGCATGCTTTAGCGTCGTTGGGTTGTGTCGCCGCCGAGTGTGTGGTAGCCAGCAGTAAATAAATAATGGCGAGAACCGGACAGGAAAAGCACTGTTGCCATACACCACCGAGAAGTGTAGCTCGGTTCCCCGGAATATAGGAAATAACCCCACGCGCGCACACACCAGCGTGCGCTTTTTCTCCTGTTTCGTGTAGCCATCACAGAATCTCGAGTAACACGTGCCAATTAAATTAGAGGTGGCTGGGTGGCTCGCAGGTCAGAGCCCTGAGCTGTCGTCGCTGAGATCCTGGGTTTAGAATCCAGATCAGACCGGCTTACAGTTTCAAGTTTGTTTTATTTCACCATGTGAGAGCTCACGAGACAGCATATTTTCACTTGCAAGAGAAGCCTGGGTCACCAGAATTACAAAAGCAATGACTTAAAATTCAATTACAACGATGAGGCATTACAAAATAAATCGAAAACATACAATCATACATTGATATTGAATTAAATGCATTTCATGTGATGGAAGTTGGCTTACACAGTTGTGGTGAGTTGACGGTCTCAAACGTGTCACCAATGACTACACACACAAAAACAAATCCATAAAAATTTGGTTCTGCACTTTGGCTAAATTCTAGCTCCGAGTATTAAACGTCGGTTTGACTGTCATGCAACGAACAACATCATCATATGTAAAATGTGAATAAAGAACGCCTACAACTTCGAGTAGCTTTATGCTGGGGGGCAAGGGGCACTAGCTGCTGGCACTAAACCGGGTGGCTGGTTGGGCCTGGGGCTGGTGTGGTTTGTGCCTCCGATGAAAGGGAGACGGAAAAAGGCAGGCGTTTTGGGGAAGGCGGTGGAGGGCGACTCGCGTCATCTCACGAAGCTGAGGAGTTTTTTTTTAATTGTAGGACCCCTGTTTAAGGACCCCAGGCCAAACAGGAAGAAGAAGAATAAGAAATTGCCACTTGACATTGACTTGGCACGGAGCCACGGGGAAGTGAAACAAGAGCACGTTTGCGTGTCTTTGCAGCAAAAGTAAATCGCTGTAAAGAGATGTCTGCTCACGCGAAGTAGGCCCTTTACCACAATATTAATTACAGACACCGGAGAGAGCGGGCATTCCTCGTACCACTGCGTACAAAGGTGTGTCCGTCTGGTACCCGGCCGAGTTGTCTGGTATTTATTTACCGTCATAGTTTCGCCGTATCTTTCTTTTTTACGTTATCTTGCCGGCGAGTAAATTGGTGGCTACTGCTAACTACGCCTGTCGTGTCTAACACACAATCAACATACATGCATTGGGCATGCGACGATCCACCACCACCCGGCGATGGTCGTGATTCATGGTCACGATTCTCTTTAAGAATAGATGCGTTTTTTTATAATCTCGTTTTTACCGTTCCGTTTGTACTTTGTCGTTTGTTCCATCTCTTTCGAAGTCTCGCGAGCCAAAGTGTAATGTCCGGCACGTAGTTTGTGTGAATGGTAAATAATCAACTGTTACACGGACAATCCGATATGCCGATGGATTTGAACAGATGAGTCAATATACCTCTGTTCCTTTCCTCGCGCGGTCAAATCTACGGTAAAGGAATTACAGCGTGGGCCACGGAAACCTGATACCCACCAAGTTTCGCGGGAGCTGAGCAATGAGTTTTTATGGTTCGTACGCATTTTTATTACACAGCAGGCCAGCGTGTGATACACGAAAGAGCCAGTGTCATCGCCACCTCTAGTATTTGGTAATTTGTTTTACCACTGGGGCTGTGACACGGCCCAGCAGGGGAGCACGTTTCGCCGCTCGTTTCAGAGGTTCACAGTTTCGAATCCAGCGGCCACCCTAATCAATACTGCCGGTGTCGCAACCGCAGTAAAACTACACACCATCTGCTTCACGGTTAGATAGGCCACTGAGTGCCGGCATCTATCAGGGTCCAAATTTACCTTATTTGATCATTACCCCACAAATCACTCAATTTGCATTGTACATTGCAGTGACCCTTCCCCTGCTGGCCGACTAAAGCCTGTGGTCACTGTTGCATATGGTGCCACGCTGATCTCTCTTGAGTTCTTGCCTGATGGATGACTATAAACTCAGCTCGTTTGATCATATTATTACAATTCCGTTCCTGTGGAGTAGCCACATGTGACCTCCATTTCATCTCAAATCAACCACAATACGAATTGATTTCAGTACTCGGGCATTGAAAAAAACAAGCGGTCACTTGTGGACGTGTTTTCTAAACTGGAAAGGATCTGTACAAACCACACAATGCAACGTGGATTCATGTCACCAGGCCCAAATGCGACCGCATCTCACGACACTTTACAGAAACATGCATTGAGATTATGTCGATTATTTTGCTGCGATACATTTCCACGTGATAAGCCACTTTGTTGACCTGTCATTTTGTGGCCGGGACGCTTCTGAAAAATAATTCAATACTGCCAGTGGGCTTTACCTGGTAGGATGGGGATGGTTTAGTTTTATTTGTTTGTTTTTGGGTGTTTTGTTTACCTTGTACTTTGCACGACTGTGGTGTTTTCTAACTGTTTGTTGTTGTAACGCTCTTACCCGCCCCTACTGGACATCTGTGAAAAATAACTCTATAGCTCATCGGATTCCTCCAGTATAACTTACTATTCTGATTCTGAATCGGAACATGTTCATTTTTTTTTATAAGGGAGAAAGAGAGAGAGGCAGTAATTTCTAGACAGAAGAGAGGAAGGTCTTGAGCCTGATTCTTAAAAACCAAGGCAGGGAGTCAGCAGCACGGGTGGCTGGGGGAAGGGAGTTGCCGAATATTTGAAGCATATAAGCATGAGCTACCTGACTCTTAGTGAACATTGAATGGGGGCTTCGACAGAAAGTCTCGGTTGTTGGAGCGGAGAGGGCACGAAAGGGAGTAGAGCGAGATGAGAAGGGAGACTTACGAGAGTGAGTGTGCATGGAGGGGAGTTTAGAGTAAGGTGAAAGGGTAGGAGAGTATGAGAAGGTGGGAGAGTGCGTGAAGGGCAGTAGGAAAGAGATGAGAGGAGAGAGGTATACAGGGGTGAGTCCATGGAGGATGTGGAAGACAGTGAGTGTGATCTTGCAATCGAGCCAGGATTGGATTGGGAGCTGGATGAGGGATTGGAGGATTGGGGTGATGTAGTCTCGTTTGCGGGTGCATGTGACGAGTCTGGCAGCGGTATCCTGGATCATCTGGATTTTGGAGATGAGGGATTTGGGGAGGTAGTAGTGGAAAGAGCTGCAATAGTAGCTTTACAATTTGCGTAACGTACAATAACAACTTGCGTAGCTGTGCGTGTGTGTGTAATGCAGCATGTGCACACAAAGTGCACCTAGCCTGGCAAAACAGCCATGGTGACGTCGCTTAGTGGCAAAAAGCAATTGTTGTTGATGGAGCATGTGTTTGTATATTTTCATTCCTTTATTATTCATGAACCAAATTGCATGCGTAGAATAAATGTTAGCAGTATTTGTGTGTGTGCAAGGTGTTGGCACAGTGGTTATGATCCCAGCAATCTGGATTAATTTCCCGGCCACGGATAATACCATTGGCATTTGGTATCTGAAACTGTTCGGGGCCTCCCTTAGGTCAACTTGACCTCAAATGAGTACCTGGTGCAGTCTTTAAACAACATCACAGGGGAGACTTGAGACAGCTGCGCCTGGTTTTGACCATACTACCCCTTCATGTGCTGTTCAGGCCTTAGTAGGTGCTCGCTAAGGGCACTTGCTCCAACAGTCTGTGTGGCAAACACATGAATCTTTGTCTTTGATGTAGTGTATGCATGTGTGAACAAAGGCAGCTTGTGTATGTGTGATATAGCACTTGCATGTGTATTGTCTTTGTCTTGTTATGCATTCTATGTGCTTGTGTAAAATGTGGCTTTTGTATAATATGTAGCATGTGTGTGTGAGTGAGTGTTATGCATTGTACTGCGGGTGTGTGTGAAATTTAGCGTGTATGTAATGTAATATGTGAGAGTTCAAATTGTGGTTGGGGGCCGCCTCAGCCCATAATTTCTCCAGCGTTAATAAAATACGTACAACTTTATGGGGTAGTCAACAGTCGTTTTCCATAATAAAGGTTTTTTTTTGGTTAGATCGCGGAAATATAAATGGGTCATTAACTCACCACCACCCGACACAGCCGATTAATGAGGTTTGTCATGGAAAGAAAACGTGCCGATTAGTTACAACTGCAGCATACCAGTGTGTTGGAGAGTAAACCCAGAACATTTACAATTTGAGTATGATGTTTCGCTGCTAATTACAACCAGCTTCATCAGGCAATTTTTGCAAGAATTGTGAAGAAGTCCTCCTGTTTCCAGTCTTAAATAAAGTAAGGTGATGTTATCACTGTGAGTCTATCAGGTGCGAAGATCAGAGGGGGGTTTTCCAATAGATAATCTTGCCGCAGGACTCAGGGCTGTAGATAGGCGATGGACACCAAAAACCTCAATGCTCAATTGAGCAGGAAATCACTTTGAGTTTTGAGTGCGTCGTGCGTCACGTGACGTAGCATGCATGTGCAATGCAGTGTGGCGCATGCATTTGTGGATACGGTGCAGTGCAAGTGCGCACGATGGACACCCTGTGATACGTGCGACGATGTAACTCGTGGATCTGCGCGCATGGCGATCTCTCGCTGCCCCTGTGCCCCAGGCATTCACGTTGCTCGCTGTCGGGAACTCGGTTTTACCGTGCCTCGCGCTGCTGCTGCTGCTACTGCTCCGTGTAGCAGGGAGGCTGGCGACCATGGCACTGTGGAGCCAGGCCCAACAGCTGCAGGGAGACTATCTTCGGCAGATGCAGTCGCTCTACGGGCAGCACTTCCCCATCGAGGTCCGCCACTATGTGTGCCAGTGGGTGGAGCAGCAGAGATGGTGAGGGCACTACCCTGGCACAATCAACATCATCAACATCATCAGAATCATCAGCATCATCATCAGCTTCGTCAACGTAATCACCATCAGCAGCAGGATTTTATAATATTATCGGGCTTCAATGACGGATGTTCAAATAATTCCCACATGGCAACGTGAATTAAATTCCTGGCCGTGGTTGATGTTAGTGGCGAGGCCTACATCCAGCAGTGGATTGACAAAGTGCCGTGCATTACATTGCATTTTAATCCATTTCTATTCAACGCACTGCGCTCAGAACGCCGTCTATTTTCCAACCCGCACTGACCAACATGGTGAAGTATGGTTAAACAACAAGTATGGTTAAACAATCCCCATAGTCAATTCAGCATAGGGAGGCCTGTATCGGTGAATTCACGCGATACTTGCAGCCACTAAAGACGCTACCATTCACCAGAATGTAAAAAAAAATGTTTTAATGGCATCACGACTATTTCGTAACATTTCCTCGGAATGCTGGAAAAGTGAATCATTCACCCACAATGCACTGTGAGCTTAGGAATAGATTTTAATCAATTAATCGAATCAGCGTTACACCAATATACTATCCAGTCACCACAATGTTTAACAAAAATATATTGATTCTCAAGTTAAATCGCTATTCAACCTCGCGACAATCCATCAAATCTGCATATGAGTGGGGATGGGCGGGCTGATTGGTAGACCGATCATCCCCTGATTATGGGAATAGAGGTGGAAAGCGAAACTTAACTCCCACCTGCCGCGCGCACGTGCAGGGATGAGGTGGAGGTGGACAACCCTCAAGAGGAGTTCCGCGCCAAGGTGCTGCTCGACAACCTGGTGCAGGAGCTGCACAGGAAGGCCGGCCAGCTCGTGGGTGACGACGTCTTCGTGCTCAAGCTCAAGCTTGACAGCTACGCCACACAGCTACAGGTGCTGATGTTACTATATAAGCCATAAAAACCTGTAAAATGCACAACACATTATATCCGGGCACGTGTTCTTTCAGAGATGCACTTTATAACTCACAGCTGCGGGTGGTGCTGTATTACAGTTGAGTAACAGTTTTGAGTCTCAAGGTATGAAATGTGACCCTATCATCAAACACTTGTAGAACACAGGAGGTAGTGGTAGGGAAACCAGCGCCAAGATGTTACTGCAGACGTCCCCAGTCAAAGGTGGAGCACTCGGGAAATGTTTTAACCCTGGACTTTTAACAGGGGGACAGAGGCAGCAATGTAGACGATTCGTGGGATGGGTTTCTGGACAGTTACAGGCAGCAGAGGAGACAGGGCAACCCCTTACGGTTTGGCAGCTCACTGTGAGTTTTGCACGCAGACGTGCCTGCAGCTGCCTGCCCGACCCACACCACCCAGTCGCAGTCACCGCTGAATATACCCGGACAGCTTGGCTCGATCAGTGTTGTAGTGGAAACTTAATGGCAGAGGAGAAGGAGCGACCCCTTACAGTTTTGGATGTTCGCTGTGAGTTTTGCCTTGAGGCCCCGTGTGTGGCTGCTGCTGCTGTAGCTTTACTACTGCACCACCCAGTCGCAGCCATCTGTGATTGTATCCCAACAGCGTGGATTAGTCAATGAAACAGGGTCATGTTAACCGAGCTACACGTGACGAATTCTTGTTAACAACCGCACCGTGCATGCCTTCTATGCAGCCAGCATAGACCTGACTCCCACACACACTTCCATGTAACTTACAGAGCTATCGGTTACATGGAAGTGTGTGGGAGTGCACAGATTCAGGTGATCGCTAGGCGTGCATGGTGACGCACACCTGTGCGTTCCAGCGCTCCTAAACCTCGCTGGTTTTTTTAGATGCCCAGGAGATGACGGCAGAGCGTGTCGATTGAAACCATCTTTGCGGAGTTTGGAGTGTTACCCCCCCCCCCCTCGTATGGGCGCCACAGTGGCAGGATGTTAACTACCTTGCCTGGTATACAGGAGGTCGTGGGTTCGATCCCGACCCTGACGCCTGTATGTTTGGAGTTTCCGTGTCTTTTTTCCCCGTGGTCGCGTGGATTTTTGTCCGGGTACTCCAGTTTTTCCCTCCACATTTAGAATCAACATGTGTATATGGCTGATATAAATTTCCAGGTGATAAGCCCCTTCTTTGAGCAATCATTTGTGGCTAGGTCACTTCTGAAAAAGAGCTACTATCGAGCTCCGTAGGCCTAACATGGTAAAATACAAAAATAAAAATGATAGTTTAAATCGTATGGGTGGCGAGTTTTCTTCGGGTTCTCCGGTTTCCTCGCACGTGAAGCCACATACTCGTGAGTGGGATTGGCTGAACGTCCCACTGCGGAAACCCTCCTGAAAAAGAGTCTGGACTAAAGTGGAGCTTTCCTGGATAAAAAACTAACATTATTATTAGAACTGCCTCCCTCGGTGCTCTAAATTGTTACGTGCCATTCTGGTGTTGTGTGGGTATTAAGGTGATAAATAAGCACACAATGTTCTATTTGACCATCAACAATTGCGATGAAATTGCAATTCATTTATCAGCTAAAAGGCCACAATCCGCCAAGGCGACCTGTAATAACTGTTCAGTGTTACTGTTCTGCTTCTAACTGGCCCCACACTATACATGGAGATCTCTTGCCTATATCACCAGGCAATCAAGGAGCTATTTTCATAACCGGCCGCAATCTACTGATGGAGATTAACCTGTCCACAGCTTGCCTCCTTCGGAAAAGCAGCGGTGGGCAATGATGGCTCTCCGGTACTGACAATTCCATCAAATAATGAAACCGGTATGCAGCCTTCTCATTGTTCTGCTGCTGTCTCGAATAATACGGGCCATAGTTTTGACTCTTTTGAGCTGGCGTTGAAAACAAGGCTGTGTGCATTGTACACACGGTATGTTGATGTCATGTGACCTGCAGATCATGATCAGAGGACCGATCGCATTGACAGATTCGTGCTTTCTGCTGCTTTAGGAGTCACCTCTGTGTGTGTTTCGATTACGCTGGTACGTATGCGTACGTTTGTTTATTTCCGCTGTGTAATCCGTGTCGCTCTGCCTCATCCTTGTCGCCCACCTCAGACTCACTACGAGCACACGCCCATGGAACTCGTGAAGACGGTGAAGCAGATCCTGTTCCATGAGCAGCGCCTGGTGCGCGAGTCGGCCAACGTGAGTGAGCGCGGCATCACCACCACCATCACAACTATCATCATCACCACCCTTGGTACAATTAACACCATCGCAACCATCATCATTCTTATCACCATCACCAGCGCTGTCACAACTACCATAACCACCACTGTCACAACTACCATCACGTATGTATGTACGTTGGAACTTATTTCGCAATCGGTCTCAAAGACTATTTTTTAGGAGCATCCTACATTGCGATGTTTGGCCATTTTCAATTTGAAGGCGTCTTTGCATGCGAGACGCAAATAGAATAAAAAAAGTAGAAACGCAACACACGCGAGAGGATCATATGCAAGGGTCCACGCAGAGAGGTTCACAAACCCACTTGCTATACTGCCATCTCGTGAACACCTCATGGCAACACAGCAGGTTTGGGAGCTTCACACATCTCTCCGTGACTCACCAACCCCTGCCTCAAAAGCAAGTAGCTGTACACCATACTTGTCCGTAGGGGTTGGTGTGGGCGGGTGTGCCACCACCAGGGCACTGCACCACGTTTGTGTTTTTCTTTTATAACGGTGGAATTAATCGACGTAATTAGACCGTTTGAAATTGCGCATTAATTGCCTCCGCGGATTTGCGGTAATCGAGCCCGCTCCTCCGTGTCAGGGCGCTCCGCACTCGATGTTACGCGCTCGCAAACAGGCTCCGCTTTGTAGCCTTGGGAATTTGATTTCATTCGTGAAACATCTGCAAAGCCTCACGTTACGGGTTTCTGTTTTTATAAACGATTTCCGTGCCGATAATCATCCGCTCGTTGGAGGTGATAACATGCTCTTGCGAGCCCAGCTGCTGCCAGAGGTGTGACTTGCGCATTTGGCGCCCAGTACAGTGCCCTCCCCCGTCACCGTCCCATGCCCGCCTTGCTTCTGCGGTGCTAAGTTGTGGGCAGAGGACAGCGCAGCGAAACCCCATTGGTTGTAACTTGCTCCAACAACATCTGTGCTCCCCCGCCTTCACCAACACGTGCTGACCAGTGTGATGAAGTATGGTCAAACAACCCTCCCGTAACCGACGCTGCATGGAGAGGCCTTCAAAGAACAGCGGATTAGAGGACAAATATTAATTTCATTATTTAATTCTGTTTACCTCCAAACAAACTATATTAGATGTGCAGCGAGTCTTTTCTCTTAGTCATTGCAATGTGCATGTTATTGTAAAATCATAACACGTTACGGTTGGTGACGGAAGACGTACTCGCCTCCTTAACTATTTATATAAACCATTCAAGCACCGTACTTGTTTGAGAAAGTCAAGGGTGGTTTCCTTATGCTTCCCTTTGAGGATATGGATGATCGTGAGTATAATTATAACGTCGCTTTTTACTTGAGCCATAGTATGTCAGCCAATTATCAGGACTATAATTCTTATTTAATGAAGAGATGTTTACATTTTGCATTGTGAAAATAAGAGCACTGTTTTTATGTTATTTAGAGGTCACACTTCACCACACCACCTTCTCGTGCGCCGTGCCGGCCTTGTTGGGTGCTTGCTATAACAGCACTTGGTCCAACAGCGTGTTAAACGCTTCACGGGTGGGTGGCGATCTTTGTGTTTGTGATGTTCAGCCGGGGACGCCGCTGAGTCCCGTGGACAGCATGTCCCAGAAGCAGGCGCAGATCACGGCCACCTTCGAGGAGCTCCGCGCCATGACCAACGAGACGGACACTGACCTGCGCATGCTGCAGCAGAGCCAGGAGTACTTCATCATTCACTACCAGGAGAGCCTGCGCATTCAAGGTATGTGTGTGGACAGTCGAGTCTATCTGTGCGAGTCTCTTTTTAAGTCTTACCTCTCTGGAATGCATGAGTTTTGTTCCGGGTAAATCCTGTTTCTTCCCACATGTCAGTTCACCCGTGGATATTTGGCTAAAGAATCCGATGCTTGACCGTCCGGACAAAGTCTTGTTTGGGATTGCCATTCAGATGGTAATAATTTTGAACAATGTTTTGTCGATTCACCGTTGGACAAGTTGTTTGATCATACCTCACCGTGTTGGGGTTGGAGAGTGACAGGAAAGTTCAGATATCACTCGCAGCTAATTTTGGCCGTGGCCGGGAATTGAACTCAGATCATCGGGCTCGTAGTGAATGCACTAATGACTGTGCCACCACTCCAATGCGCGCCACCTCTCCATCCCATGACTTTGTTGACAAACATATAAACAGACAAAGGTTCCGCCAGATAATCTACTTTGACTGACGGGGCAAGTGCTGTTCGTGACCACTTATGATAAACACGCAACCCCCCCCCCCCCCATCATTAATATTCATGAGCAGGTGGATTTTTACACTCGCGCAGAAGAAGGTCAAGCGGAAAGACATTTTTTGTTTGTTCGCAAATTCGTTTTAAGTTTGACGTTTCTTTATTAAAGTGAGTAAAATAAATAATTCTACGCAGCAACAAAGTGGATTTGGTGTCTTTATTTCTTCAGCACTTGAGGCAAAAGCTAAGTCTCATTTATGCTTCTACATTATGGTAAAATAGACATTTCTCGGTGATTTTCCAGATATTGTATCGAATTCAAATTTATTTCAACCCCAGCGACCGAAAGCAGAAGAGAATAAAGTATCAGAGCAGTGAATTTGAACAAATTAAAGGTCAGTTATATACAGTGCTACAGTTACATGAAGTGAGGTGTTTTATGACATAGTTTCATGCAGATTCACTGCCATTAAATTTACACAAGCTACAATTATACTCTGGACAATTTTTTCGTAAATATGACTGCTTCCGTCCTCGGATGGGCAAACAAGCTAGTAACAATAATAATACAACACCCGCCATTCGCCACTAAGCGATGGTTACGTCACCGCGGCGCCAGGCCAGGTGCACAGGGGCTACTTGAGCACCAGCAGTGTCAGTCCGTTTTCCTTGGACCACGGAGGTAAGCTGTGGGCAGATGGCTAACCCCGGCTGCGTGTGTGTGGTGCGGAGCAGGGCAGCTGCACCAACTGTCCCAGCCGGCGCGCCCACCCCAGGATCAGAGCTCGGTGCAGAGCATGCAGCAGAGCCTGCAGCAGCGCCGCGTCAACATGGACAGCATCCTGCAGCAAGAAGCGCAGCAGCTGCAGAAGTTGCGCCTGGTGGGAGTGCCACTGGGTCACACGCACACACGTTTGCTGGGAGTGCCACTGGGTCACACGCACGTTTGTTGTTTACGACATTGTGCTTTAAGGCAGGCTTGAGCATTGGTGGCAGGTGTGAATGTCCCCAAGGTACTGACATAGCCGTGGGCCTCGTTAATCTGCCCTCGCTAACACTTGTGGGGTGAACGGCAAGGTGACCTCTCCCCGCATGGCGGAAAAGCAACCCACCGTCGCCAAATGAGCTGGGTCCACGGCAGAGGTTTTGGCTGCCGCCGTGGGGACTGAGTGTTAGTGATTTTGGACGGTTCATTAATTGCTTCATTGATATTAGGCACGTGAGGATTAACCTCGCCCCACGCCCCCCTCCTCCCTTCCGTGGTTCGGTGAATTGTCACCCAGAGGGGTCTTGCTTTGATTCAGGAATCGATCCATTTTGTCTCTGGTGGTGCGTTTGTTTTCTTGAACCGATGGCATGTCATAGATATGAATTTGAAATAATGGAGTTTCAGGCATTCTATTCAAAGTGTATATCAGGCATAAGACAAAAGAAAAACAAAGTACATGGTACAGACATAAGAATGTGATGGTACCAACAACAGGGACTACATAAGAACAAACGATACAAATGAGATGCGCAGTACATGGCTCCGAATCGTGCCAATTCATCAGACGCCTAACTTTGACACAGCGGACCTTCACGTGAGACCTCCCGCCCTCTCCGCGACGCCGCGTTAATCCTCACCGCGTGCATTCCCTCCGCTCGCTTGCCACGGAATGGGGCGCGCGATCCTCCTGCAGGCGCTGGCGGAGAAGCACAAGAAGACGTTCCAGCTGCTCACCAAGCTGCAGACCACCATCCTGGACGACGAGCTCATCCAGTGGAAGCGCCGACAGCAGCTGGCCGGCAATGGGGGGCCCTCCGAGGGGGGGCTAGACTGCCTGCAGGGCTGGTGGGCAGAACCCGTACCCTACCTCCTCTCCGAACGAGCGAACGCACGCACGCCCACGCATCCACACGCTGCTGCTTGTGGTCACACACCTGTGCACTGCTGCACGTACTCACATGTTTCTCACGGACAAAGACCCCCTCTGTTGCCTTTCAGAGTCTATTAGTAAGTGCCGGAATGGCGCAAGAGGGGGTGGTGTGGACAACGCCATGCTGGCCACCTTTGTCTCCCCAGTGCGGATGTTATGTACACGCCGAACCCAGTTCCCACATTTGCGACTGATGTTAGCTGTGGCGCAGAATCTCGGATCGTCCAGTTCAGAGTGCAGCACGAGAACCACAACGTTAACCTTTCACACACATACCAAAATAGCGCACACACATTCACACGCACATCTCCATACACATCTGTTGATGTAACCAAATATTCGTGTTTAGCTGCTTTTTTTTTAATTCGAGCCACCTATTAAGGATGTAATCCACATTTAAATGTAACCTGCGCTTTACGTAAAAGCTGGTTTTGAACATAATCCCTCATTTAAACATAAGCCATATTTATCGTGTAAGCTCCCCAATAAACTTAAGCCAACTCAAGCTCTTCCTCCGTTGGATTATTCTGAGCAAACTCATTGACACCACAAGTACTCTGGGGGTTGCGTGCATGTGTGCGCATCTGCTCATTTGTGTGTCTGTATATATATGTGTGTATGTTTGGGAGCGGTGGTGTAGCGGTTAGCGTGCTGCGCTGCGAACCCAATGACCCGAGTTCAAATCCTGATCACGACCACCAACACCGGTGAAGATTATCTGAACCGGTCCTGGGCCTCCCCTCGGTCAACTCAGCCTAAATTAGTACCTGATGCACGATGTAAATATCAACACGGGAGGTACAAAGTTGGCCAGGCATGGTAATAACCACATCGCCCCATCGTGCACCATTCCATCTTGATAGGCGCTCCCCAACAACACTTGCCGCAACAGCCTGCATGCCTATATGGGGGGGAATCTTTGACTTTGCATGTGTACATGTGCACGCTTGTGTCTGTGTCCATGCTGCGCTTACACGTGTTTCCTCGTACACGTGGCTATGCGTGCCCGTGGTCGCCTTTTGCGGCCGTAGCGTTCACGCGGGACCCCGTTCCTGTACGGCTGTGCCAGGTGCGAGAAGCTGGCGGAGATCGTGTGGCAGAACCGGCAGCAGATCAAGCGCGTGGAGCTGCACCTGCAGCAGCTGCCCATCATGGGGCAGTGCCAGGAAATCCTCACCGAGCTCAACTCCACCATCACCGCCCTGCTCTCCGCGCTCGTCACCAGGTGACCGCCGAGCAAACGCTGCTGCCGCCGCCGCCGGACGTCTCAACGAGTTGTCGAGGATTTAGAAATTAATTTTCTTGAACAATCACAATGCGCGCATCGAACCGCGTGCGTGAGAATCCATGGGTTAGGCCGAGAGGCCTTACCCTGAAACGCCTATTGGGTGACAACACGTTAACGCGTACCTTACCGTCGTCCAATGTTCACGCGGAAAATGTTCCGGCTTCACCTTTAGCGCGCTAACGCGATGCTCTCGCTTGCCTTTTTGCTCTCGTTAACGCGCTCATGCCAGGTCGTCGGTTTCTGAAGTAGACACGCGACTGAGATGCTTGCACCTGTAATCCCCCCCCCATCACCCCACACCTCACGCAGCACGTTCATTATCGAGAAGCAGCCGCCGCAAGTGCTCAAGACGCAGACCAAGTTTGCTGCGACGGTGCGGCTGCTGGTGGGCGGAAAGCTGAACGTGCACATGAACCCGCCGCAGGTGGTGGCCACCATCATCAGCGAGCAGCAGGCCAAAGCCCTGCTCAAGAACGAGAACACGCGCAAGTGAGTGGCTCCTGCCGCCACCGCCGGGGCCCGACGTGACGTCGGCGGGAGCCAGAGCAACGGGGTAGTTATCGAGTGTACACGGGGGGTGTGACTGTGCCGGTAATCATCGGTGGCTGGAGGGTGTGGTTCATGCGCCGGGCAACGAAAAAGGGGGAAATTAAACAGAGGGCCAGCCTCGGAAACCACGAGCCAGGAGCTCGTGTTGTCCGTTTTGTTGTTGGTGAGCGGAAGAACCGGATGCGGTTGAGTCACGGCTGTGCATGTCTTGATCTGAGATCTTACATCTTGATAGACGATGTTGTGGTTCTCAGTTTAGGTCAAACACGATTCCTCGATCTGTGTCACACGAAATTTCTCCCATCACGCATAGTCAGCGAAGGACCGTTGTGCCAAACGTGTGACCTGTTGCGACAGCATTTGCAACAACTGCCCTTGCTGCCGTACACTGGTGTCTCAAGTGATTTGTTTGATCCACGGATCAGTCCACTTCGAACGTCGACCGCCAACTGAAGTGCGCAATTTTCTGCAGGAGCTTGCACATCAAGACGGAGCGACGTGTCCACAGAGTGACAGCTGTCTCCCTCAAACTAAGCTCTCGAACGCTGGGAAAACGGTCGCAGATGGTGACATTTCTGACAAAGTCAAACCGTCAGATGACAAGAAGGCATCTTTGCCATCGCATGTGGATGGAGGACTGCAGCTGATCCAAATCGGCTTGACGCAATGTGCAGGCCCTCGCACCTATACAACAAAACTGACAACACAACACTGGTAGACTCTCACTTTGGTGCCGAGACTTAACCGTTTCTGGGAACAAATGCGGTTCACGAAAGAACGACGTTACTTTAATGGGACGAGGAAGTTCGTCGCGTTTGAACGGAATACAACAATGCGCTTCCTAAGTCATATGTGTGTATACGTCGGAGTTGGCGTCCGCCGGACTTCTTCATTATTTTTTACATTTGCAAAAAAATTTGCTCTAAATTCCTACCAATGGTTTCCTTGTCCGTTCGTACAGTGAGAGCAGTGGAGACATCCTCAACAACTGCAGCGTCATGGAGTTCCAGCAGGCCACAGGGACTCTCACCGCCAACTTCAGGAACATGGTGAGCGCTCCGGCAAGAGCTTGGATGCGTCGGTGCACACGTCGTTCTGGCTTTGGCCGTGCAACCTCGCAAGGAGCGGGGGGCACCCCCTTATTGTTGTTGGAGAGGGCAGATGCGGAGCTATGAGGGCGAGTCAAACACTCCGTGGTTTAATCCTGATGCAGGCACGCTGGCGCTTGTGCGTTTGTGTGTGTGCGCTCGTTTTAGTGGAGAGCGCAAACGTCGTGATTTTGCGCATTGCACTGCAAATACGGCAGTCCGAGTTTGATTCCTGGCCATGGCTAACACCCGTGGTGATGATTGAAATTGCTCCTTGGCTTCTCCTCGGTTGACTCAGCCTTAAATGAGTACCTGGTGCAGTGTGTAAACAGAACGCCGTGCCGACCTTCATGGGTGCTCCACTGACAGCACTCGCCCCAACAGCCTGTGCAGGCTACACAGGGGATCTTTGTGTTTTTGTCTATGTCCAGTCTCTCAAGAAGATCAAACGCTCAGACCGGCGTGGAGCGGAGTCGGTCACAGAGGAGAAGTTCACCATCCTCTTCCAGTCGCACTTCAGCATCGGGGGCAATGAGCTTGTCTTTCAAGTCCGGGTAAGGACGCGCACACACGCGCACGCACACACACACACACCCCGGGCTACCGGCTTCGGCATGCACGCGCCGGCACATGCATGTTGCAGGCCTGTAACACAAAGCTCGTTGGGAGTCCCAATGCCGTACCTCCTCCATCTTGGAAAAATCGACTCGCAGAAGGGTAAGAGGAAGACAAAGGTGGACATTGTGGGGATGGATAGGGTGACGAGTAGTGGACCCAGGTTCAGCACTGACCTCTGAGATACTCGCCTTGTAGAATTAAATTCAATACATTTTTTTTTATTTCGTAGATATCTTTACTAATTTTGGAGAAATCTGGGTTTTTTATATTAGGGGGCAGTGTAATTTCTAAACTGTTTTCATGACCTTTAATGAAAGCTGTTTTGTTATGCCATACAGCACTTTGAAACCTCTTTGTGGTCTGTTTTTGCGATTTCTAAATTTGTAAAATAATGAAACGATATCATTTCAACATTTTGAGAGCTTGTGCCAAGAGGAACTACTGGCACGTGTTTGACTGTCGACCTCCAAACCCGCTGCGTGGATGGGCTGGCCAAACCCAGGAGTCACCCGTGTTGCTCGTGTGCTGCCTGTGTGCTGCCTGTGTGCTGCCTGTGTGCTGCGTGTAGACGCTGTCCCTGCCCGTAGTGGTCATCGTTCACGGGAGCCAGGACAACAACGCCACCGCCACTGTCCTGTGGGACAACGCCTTTGCCGAACCGGTGCGCAACGCGCGTGCCGCTCATGGCCACAACACCACCACGAGCCTCTGATCTCTTATATGCACGGATATAGGCTTGCACTGGCTTGCCACGGCTCCAATTCTGGCAGGTGGTGAACACCGCCTGCCTCTGGATTCCCAGCCAAGAAATCCACGCAGCCTCCGTGGTTTGGCGATGGCCCAGCAGAACCCACTGGAGCATTAAACGCTGCCTCTTCTCTTCCTATAATCTAATTAATTAATCGCTGGCTCATGTCACCTGCAATTAGATAACCTGAGACAGAACGCAATGCCGAATGTGAATTGGAGCTTTGCCATTTAATGAGGCTGTGTGTTTTGGGCTGTCCAACATGAGCAGGAGGCTGTGTTTACGGTAAGAGAAAAACATCGAGTATTAGGCGCCCTTTAGTAACATCACTGCGGTGACGTACAAAAACATGCGCAACAGAGGTGGCCGGGGGTGGCTTAGAGGTCAGAGCGCTGAGCTGGCACGGCTCCGATCCTTGGTACAAATCTAGGCAGCTGCCTGTGATTAAATCAGGTTCCAAAGTCTATTGAGTCGATGATTTTAGCCTGGTCAGCAATGACTGTACAAAAGTAAGGCCACGTTAAATTGCCTTCTGCACTTAATTTGGCAAAATTCCAGCTCTCAGAATTAAAATTGTCACTGTGACTGCGGCGCCGTGATCATTACTGTGTAGCGGGGTTGGTAGAAAGGTGCTGCCCCCTACTGCATGGATCAGAGTCGCAGGCCCGGTATTGTCTACGGGCCTTGGGTTCCTCACCCCTGTTTCAGAAGAAAGGAGGAGATTAAGTCTCATTAGAGCAACTCGGAGAAGGCTAAATATCTGGAGTGTACATATTGTCAGCGGGGAAGGCTTGCCGAAGGAAGTTCAATAAGGAAGGCTAGAGAATATCAAACGTGTCGGATCGCTACTCGCCCTTGTGAATAGCATCGCAACTGACCCACGTATACGCACGTCCGTTTGGATCCCTTCCCCTACCCCTCCGGCACGCCGGCAGGGCCGCGTGCCGTTCCAGGTGCCGGACAAGGTGGCATGGCCCCAGCTGGTGGATGCCCTCAACATGAAGCTGAAGGCCAGCGTGGAGAGCCAGAGGGGCCTCTCGGAGGAGAACATCGTGTTTCTGGCACAGAAGGCTTTCAACAGCACGTCCACCCACGCCGACGACTACTGCAACCTCACCATCTCCTGGGCGCAGTTCAACAGGGTAGGGTGCGCCGGCTGAGCCGTGCCAGGGCTCGGATGGCAACGAGTCCCGTATCAATTTCATCGGTGCGTCAAAGCGACGCGTCTATGGGAAATAGAGACGTATGTAGGTTTTGTGTCTACCAGGCTGTCCGACTTGATGTCGAAACTTCGTTCGTGGGAGAAAAAGTCTTTAAAGTGGCCTTTGCCGTACATCGCGCGCTGAAGACTGTGCCCGCTTGTGCTGTGCGCGTGCGCTTTCTGACACCAGGAAAGTCTGCAGGGCCGAAACTTCACGTTTTGGCAGTGGTTCGACGGGGTCATGGAGCTCACTAAGAAGCACCTCAAGCAGCACTGGAACGACGGGTTAGTGGCCGAGGCAGAGAAAGAAATATGATTTGGTGGTCGGGGAGCTAAATAAACCTTGTGTACACCACCATGGTCGCTGTGTACACTGTTGTATCGGAAAACAGGCCGTTCATGTGAAACTCGTTCAACCACGTGGTTGAACATTTTGTTGTCCTTCCCCCGCACCTCCGATTAGCACAGTTGTCTACGTACGATGCGAAAGAAGTTAGAGATACGTACGTACATACCACGGTCGAAGGCATGGCATTCTCGGGAAATATTTGGGCAATTGTTGCCCATAATGCATTTAACTACAAGCAACTCCATACGGCATCGGCATTGAGTTACTTTCTCGTTCTGCCTGCCAAACGAACACAGATTGTGTTGAAAAGTGTGCCTGATGAGCAGTCATTGGTCTACAAGAGCACACGCCATCGGGCAGTCATGTGGCATTCTTTCTATGTTCTGATTGGAAACTGCCATGCCCAGTTGCCCACTAGGGAGGGTAGTGATCAGACTTGTCCAGATTTTGACAACTACTCTTTTTGGCAGTAATGATTGCCATTAAATTGCCCTCGAAAGAACTGAGTCCAATGTACCATGTTATACAATATTGCTTTTTGCAGTGACAGGCCAATTGTGAAGGTGAAGTAAGCTTGGCAATAACATCTAGCAGCACATCATTATTTGTTTAACAAGCCTGACTCTACTGATGATACCTAGAAATTTTAATACCAGTCCAAAGTCTGTGTGGATACCAATGTTCCTGGATAACAGTGAGCGATAGTAAAATTAACACACAGATTAGAGAGCTTACGCAAGGCATTGACACACTATTTACTGTTAAATGTCATCAGTGAAACAGTATTCATCATGTCAACTTTTGTTTGCATTTCAATCATGAAAGCTAAAGTGACGTCAACTTATGGCAGTGTTGGCAGCAAAAGCACGGAAGTGACGTCATGCGAGTTGCTCCGCCTCCTGCAGCGGCACACTTTTTCCTGATCAGATATAACGTTTTGTCCGAAACGTTATATCTGAGCCCAACGCGTCTCCGAGTCTGGTATAGAGACGACGTTTAATCGTCGCCGCCGCCACCTTCCCCCTCCATGCGCAGGGCCATCCTGGGGTTCGCCAACAAGCAGCAGGCACAGGACATGCTCCTGTCCAAGCCCAATGGGACCTTCCTGCTGCGCTACAGCGACTCCGAGATCGGTGGCATCACCATCGCATGGGTCGCCGACAACCCCACCAACCGGGGTGCATATTGATGGTTGCACGCACGCCCTTGCCAACCACATCACTCTATATAGCGGTCGGCTACCAGTGATTCGTAACCTCTTGCCGCATCCCCGGGTTCTTTTTAAAGCAACAATTTTCACCAATTGTCACCAAGCGTTACGGCTTGCTTTGCAGAACAAACCCGTGTCCAACATCGTTGGTGAATATCTGAACTAGTCCTTCCCGCCGTGGGTCAAATCCGTTTTGTTACGAGTACCCGGTTCCTACCATCCCCGTCTCGCGCCATTCTGGCCTTCTTTGTGTGCTCGCTAACGACACCCGCGTCGGCTCCGTTGTGGATTCGCTGCCCTTGCGCGTGTTTGGTGCAGGCGAGCGGCTCGTGTGGAACCTCATGCCGTACACCGCGAAGGACTTCAGCATCCGCTCGCTGGCCGATCGCATCAGCGATCTCAGCCACCTTCAGTTCCTGTACCCGGACCGGCCCAAGGACGACGCCTTCTCCAAGTACTACACGCCGCTGATGCGTACGTACCGCGCCCACCCGCCGATCCCGCACGGTGCATTCGGCGTCGCCCGCTAGGCGTGGCGCCTTGACTCTGGGCAGCAGCGTGGCCGTTAGCCCGGAGCTGAGGCAGATACGAGCAGCGTACATTAACACTGCGCATTTGTGTTGTCCTTCCCCCGCACCTCCGATCAGCACGGTTGGCTACTTACAGCGCTAAAGAAATTCAACATAGATACGTACATTGGTTCAAGCAAGCCCAACCCTAATTGGTTGAAGTGAGTGGCAACCAGTCAGGAGGAGGACAGACAGCAGCTTGCGTGGTTGCGACCTCCTGAGCAGCAGTGAATGCTCAGAAACTGGCCCGTGGACCGGCAGGGGTTTAAAACGGTCTCGGTTCAATATATGGACCTACATACTGGTGTATTGTGATTATCGTCGTAGCGGCAGAGCTGTACAGACCTTCGTGGGGTTTGTGCAGCCGAAGGGAACATGATATGACAGAGTTACTTACGAGACGCTTACACACGACGTCCAGTCCCCAGTTGGGAGCAGCACTTGCCCACCCACCTGGCGAGAGGGAGAGAGAGAGAGCGTTTGCTAGAATTTATTCAAATTAACGTTCAATGTGCCCGTTTTTACTCCCGACAGCCAACGGGCGTGAGGTGAACGACGACGGCTACGTGAAGCCAGAGATCAAGCAGGTCGTGCCCGAGTAAGTGTCCTCGGCTTGATTGGCACCTTGTAGAATTTAATTCAATACATTTTTTTATTTCGTAAGATATCTTTACTAATTTTGGAGAAATCTGGGTTTTTTATATTAGGGGGCAGTGTAATTTCTAAACTGTGTTTTCATGACCTTTAATGAAAGCTGTTTTGTTATGCCGTACAGCACTTTGCAACCTCTTTGTGGTCTGTTTTTGCGATTTCTAAATTTGTAAAATAATAAAACGATATAATTTAAACATTTCGAGAGCTTGTGCCAAGAGGAAGTGCTGGCACGTGTTGACTGTCGACCCCCAAACCCGCTGCGTGGATGGGCTGGCCAAACCCAGGAGTCACCCGTGTTGCTCGTGGTGCTGCCTGTGTGCTGCCTGTGTGCTGCCTGTGTGCTGCATGTAGACGCTATCCCTGCCCACATGCACGCACACAAGCACGCACGCGCTTACACAAGCATGCACGCACACACAGCGGGGTTCGCTACAGCCGCTGAATTTGTACAAACAAATGCTGTTTGTCAGTGCTTAACTTTCGCTGGGCCTGTCTGCGTCAACGACTCGGAAAAACATTGCCGCACGCGGCAAGGCCACGTCCATCGTGCCTCTCGCTATGGCTGTAGCTACTAAGTCACGTGTGCCGACTGATCCGCTTTGCAGGCGACCCAGATACACTTCCGCACCCGGTACACCACATCCAGTATTTCCTTCGCTATGGCTGCGGCTAATAGTCACATGTCACCTACTGGAGTCTTACTCTTTGGTTCTTTCAGTAAAGTCACGTAGAAAATCTAAACAAATAATAATAGAATGTGACATTTCGGTTGCAACACAAGCAGCTGTCATCAGGCAAGAATGAATGATAAAACACAGACACGGAAACAACATATGTGTGCGTCGCGGAGAGCTGGGGTTAGCGGCTGTGCATTGTTTTTGTTATGGCGCAGTTTTGCCACGGCGTACTCGGATAGCTCGGCGCCCAACACGCCCTACACGCTGGACCACTCCTCCATGTCGCCTGTGAGCACCCAGGCCACCTTCGCCACCTACGCGCCCAGGCAAGTGTGGGCACCACACGAGAGCTGATATCTACTACTGGAAATAGATTTTAGTTTTAGTGGGCAGTGTTGTTGACTGTTTTGTTGTTTGTGAACCGCTGCCAACGCAGCATGGTACAAATCTGTTGTTTCGAAGAGTTGCCTCTTGGTTCAGGTCAACGTCGGTGGAAGGATATGAGAGCATTCTCCTTATAATATGTGCAGCCCTTTGTCACTGCACTGCTGGATGAAGGCCACCCCCCCCCACATCCTGTCAATCGTTAGGGTTGATTGACGACACTTCACCACGCTGGTCAGCGCACGCTGGTGAATGGCGCAAAAGGCCCGTGGGCTGAGATTTGAACTCTTAGTCGCTGGGTTCATATTGCAGTGTGCTTACCACTGTGTCGCCACTTCACCCCTTAGAAGTTGTATTATGAAACATTCCAAAATCCCCAATGCAGGACTTGATGACAACGTATTATTTATATCAGATGTCTTTCACGATCAAAGATTGTTGTCTAAGATATTTGTGTGCGTTTGTGTGCGTCCATGTATGTGTATGCTTGTTTGTGAATGCGTGTGCACGCATATGCATGTGTGTGTGTATGCATGCATGTGCGTGTTACACGTGCAGTGGGGAGATGATGTTGGAGCCTGACACGGACTTCGACTTGGACTCGATGGATGTGGCACGTCACATGGAGGAGCTGCTGAACCGGCCCGTTCTTCCACAGTGGCCGAGCCAGGGATAGCCAGGCACACACCGCTCGCTCGCTCACTCACTCGCTCGCTCAAACGTACGCTAAACCAGTCGCTCTCATTCACGCATACTTGCATGCAAACGGCGCTCGCACGCATGCTCACACGCACGCTCAATTACGCACTCATTCACGCTCGCTCACTCACACTCGCTCGCACTCAAACCCTCGCAGACTTGCACATTCACTCGCACACCCACGCATATGCCCGCGAGCTGACCACACTTGCACACCTGCAGATTTGTAAATGTACGCACCTTAACCCAAGCAATGGTTTAACAGGTGGACTGAGCAGGGTTTGAGAGATGGCCCGAGGAGGGAGGGGATGGGCTGCACAGGGTTAGGGGATTACCGCTTCGTAGGGGTGGAACGACTCTTCGCTGCATCCGATGAAATTTCGATTTTTTTAAGCTCACGACACACACATCGAATCGCGTGCGTAAGAATCAACTTTTTTTTTCTGATTCGAGTGCATCGGGCATAATGGGTTCACATCACCCCCTCTGCAGCCACCAGCGCCGCCAACATTCAGCGCAATGTTACGCAAAATTGTGATCCGTTCTTGAAGCGAATCCGGACCCTGAACCTAGACAATTTGTCAAATCACCAGGGTCGGAGGGGCGGGTGGCGGGTGATCGTTCCACTCTTACCGCTTTGGGTACTTGGGCTGGGAGTAATACATAGACATAGACTACACGGGACCTGGGGCTTATAGACTGCACAGGGGCTGGGGCTTATAGACTGCACAGGGCCTGGGGCTTATAGACTGCACAGGGCCTGGGGCTTATAGACTGCACAGGGCCTGGGGCTTATAGACTGCACAGGGGCTGGGGCTTATAGACTGCACAGGGCCTGGGGCTTATAGACTGCACAGGGCCTGGGGCTTATAGACTGCACAGGGCCTGGGGCTTATAGACTACACAGGGGCTGGGGCTTATAGACTACACAGGGCCTGGGGCTTATAGACTGCACAGGGCCTGGGGCTTATAGACTGCACAGGGCCTGGGGCTTATAGACTGCACAGGGCCTGGGGCTTATAGACTACACAGGGGCTGGGGCTTATAGACTACACAGGGCCTGGGGTTTATAGACTGCACAGGGCCTGGGGCTTATAGACTGCACAGGGCCTGGGGCTTATAGACTGCACAGAGCCTGGGGCTTATAGACTACACAGGGGCTGGGGCTTATAGACTACACAGGGGCTGGGGCTTATAGACTGCACAGCTTGAGACTTATGGACTGCACAGAGGCTGGGGCTTTTGACTGCACAGGGGCTGAGGCTTATAGACTGCACAGGGCACTTCGACTGAGCATAGTTTGGGGAAGAGGGGACGAGGTTCAAAAGCATAGGAGATTGTCGGGCGACCAGGGTTTCCCTACTAGAAATGTGAATGGGGGACCGTAGCGAAGAGCGACCGGGTTCCTTTAGGCACGGGTGTGGCTGGGCCCAAATGAAAAACAATCCCTGCTTACAAACCACTCAACAGGCATTCACTTATCCTGAGCTAGCCAGCGTACCTACATAAGTGTCTTTGCCGGAGGCTGTCCACGCAAACAGGACTCCTCAGCAGACATATGCAAGCTCTTACACACATCGAAAAAAATCTCATGCTGACCGGTTAGCTGGCTTCCGAACAGCCACTCGAGTGTAAGCAGCCCGTGCTGTATACACGCACCCAACCTCAAGATGAATTTTTGTACTCATCCGATTACGCCTTACAAGTGACCTCCTCGACGCCGACCACCTGGACCTACGCCTGCGGATACCTTCGCCCCGACACTTGCGGGTGGCGGCGGTGGCGGCATCATCTCTCTTGTCGCCACGATGTGGGGGGCGGGGGGGGGAGAGGGAGGCTGGACGGGGACCCTGCAACTGTGGTGGGGGTCCTCCCTGGCGCGGCACGCAGGGCCCGTAACCCCGCCGGCTTCGGTGCCAGGTGAATGTTACCGCTGCGTTGGGGGAGGCAGGAGGGACTCTTTTCTTAGGTTTTTTTAAAGCAATTTTTTACAGTAAAAACGCAGGCTGCGGCCGGCTCACCCGCCGCCCTGCAGTCGACTCGTTGCATCACTCGGTCCGTCCCCGCTCGGGCTGCCGCGCCGCGTAAGTTCCGCCACTCGTGCCTGCGGCGCTGCTCTGGCCCACACAGGCCCACACTAGCCTACGGTGGCCTACACTGGCCCACACTGACCCCTAGTGGTCCACACTGGTCCACACTAGCCTACATACTGGCCCACACTGGCCTACGGCGGCCTACACTGGCTCGCACTGGCCCACACTGGCTCACACTGGCTCACACTGGCTCATACCAGCCCACACCGGCCCCCGGTGGCCCACACTGGGCCACACAGTGGGGTTTTAACGGCCATACTGGTTCATATCAGCGCCTGGTGACTTGCAGCGCTGGTACACGCTGTGTTGAACCTGTGCCGGGCGTACCGGTCCGTGCGTGCCTTTGGGCCGCTCGGCCGGCACGGTGCTGGTATCGCCAGCAGTGGCCCTGTCACTCACTACAGTATTTCAATACCTTCAAGTATCAGGGAACGCTCGGGCAGCTCAGATAAACACAAAACAAGCTCTTAAGGACTTCACGCTCGTCGGTTCCTACCTACCGGCCTTTATTTTTTTAAACGTCGCACATCGTTTCACAACAACCCGGGTCACGCACGGTGGGGGTTTTTGTTGTTCATTGAGGTCCTTCAGTTTTTTGGCGGAGGTGGGAGGTCCGGGCGGCAGATTTGACGCCGACTCGGGTTCGGCCGTAAGCAACAAAAGGGACAAAAATGAACGGGAAGTGAAGAGACTGCTTTGGATATGGTCAGGTGTAAAGTTGAGTTTGTTGACGAATGGGGTCAGGAGTGGTGCTAAGGGCTCTTTCACTCGTTGATCAGGGGTCAGGGGACCGAGAGTTTCATCGGCGTCTGGGGGTTAGCACTAGCGCCGCGTGCGGCTATTGAGTCTTGTTGGCTCGTGATGTAGATGGCTAGTACGATTTAGATGTCGGGATGTTGTTCGGTTGGGTGTTCGGGTTAGGGGTAGTTCCTCGCGCTAGCGGCTATGTCCGTATGTATGTTGAACTTCTTTCGCGCCGTACGTAGACAACCGTGCTAAGCGGGACTTGCGGGAGAAGGACAACAAACAATGTGTAGTGTTAATAATGTACGCTGCCCGTATCTGCACCAGGTCTGGGCTAATGGCCACACTGCTGTCCACTGTCAGCTGTCCAATGTGAGGGTGCAAGCGAGACCGACGCTAGTTCACTCGTGGATTCTGGGGTAGGGCGAGTGTGTTTGGACCCCGAGCGTGTTGAGGATGATATCGGCTGGTTGACTTATGAGTTCAGGATAGGGTTGCTCCGCCCCTCGTTTCTTTGTTCGTTTTTTTCTGTGCTGGTGCTCACGGCGCCCCGAGTCAGCCATCGGAGGAGCGAGACACGAACTCCAGCACCGCGGCCCTCCCGAATGATGGGAGCGAGGGATCGAACTCACATGCACAGTGCTCACGGACGCCGAACGGACATCGGCTATGTTTCCATTGCGAGTGTTTAGCCCGTAAACGCATCTGGACAAAAGTGCAGCGAGCTCGCGTCTTAACGCGCGCGTAAGTCGCGCGTGCGGTTTTCCCGTCTGCTATTTCGGAAATTAGCAGGAAGCTCACGATCCCGTGGGGAGCCATCCTCCCCCCCCCCCATATCTCTCTTGCACCCCCCCCCCCCAACCTCGCTTGTGTCCCCTCTCTTGTCCCCACTATTTTCAACCCCGGCTCCCACCTTCGAGGAGATATCAGGTGGCTCAATGAAACGCATCGCGAATCACAAAGATCTTCCGAAAGACGTAAAAGCGTATCGGTAAAACTACGTGTGGAAGATTGATTTCGGAATTCGTTTTTTTTTTGCTCACCGCAGACGTTATTCTCTTCCTCCTGTTTGTTTGATCCCTGCGTATTCCGGCCTGCACGTTACACCTGTGGACGTGACCAAGACTTCTCCTTCCGGAAGAGGCCACGTGCCCCTGGAGGCCGATTCGTACTCTCACACAAAAAAAGCGACTTTACGTTTTTCTCGGTCAAGAGCTTGTCGATTTATGCCCAGCTAATGAACCCTTGCGTCGTCTCTGCTTCATACCAAACAGTGGGCCATTGTTAAAATATGTGCGTTATGTAATTCGTGAAACATTGGCATATTTCTGTAGTAATTTTTTTTCATTTGCTACCAAATGTTGAATCGGGCTCTTTGCACCATTAATGTAGCCCTCACAGGGAAATGCGCACGCGAAGCGACTACATTATAGCTTTGTCTAATTTTAGATGCGCAGAACGGGAATTGTGCCGAGAGGAATGGAAACATAGCCGACAATCAAAGTCCCCGCACTCGATTGCAAAAAAAAAAAATCGCCGTCCGCTTTGGTGTTTCCACGTAAAAGTTGCGACGCAGGTTTCCCGCGCGTCATGCGGTAGATGCGTTCCAAAAAAAAAAAGCGAGAAATCTCGTTTTGGAAAGGTCGCAAAGTCTCACCCCAACCCACCCAATGCCCCGCGCGAGACAGCTGCCTGTCGAGTAGCAACGCACACAGCCTGCGCGCTGTCCCCACGTCGGGCAGCATACGAGTTAATTAAAACCCCCGCGTAGCTGCATCGCGAATTTTGTGTAGAAATAAGTTGGACGACATAAAGCGAGGAAACCTGCACAGTATTTTTCAGCCTCCCAGACGCGTTGTTCATCAGCATCATGTGTTGATGCGCTCAAAACCGGTTTCATCACTTGTGGGGGCCCCTCATCAGGCAGATTCGACTTCCATACGTTTGGGAAGACTCGAGAGTTGTTCGAGAGGCTAAACATTTGTTGTATGTGGCGATGCATTACAGGCGTAGCTCTTATCACCCACGATGCTCGCCACAGGGGTGCGTCGATTTCAAGCAATTGGGCGAGCGTCGACTCCTTTGAGCGGCGCAGTGCCCCGTTCGTGGCGCCACTTTGCGTCCGCAAGTCCGCCGGTGGGTGTTGCGCCAGCAGCAAGGCTTTTGGTTGGGACCTGCTCAAGAGTTGCAATCAGGTTGTTGGTGTTGTTGGTGTTATTGTTGTTGAGAGAAGTGAGAGGACAAAGGCCATGATTCGATTTGGACGTGGCGGTGGGGCTGTGCTTGCGAGGAGACTGGCGTGCTCGCATCGGAGCTCGTGTTTAGGAATGTAGAGGGAAAATCTGCCGTCCCGTCCGCACGACTTTTATGGGGAACGTGGAGGCGGGGGGGGGGCGGGGCCTGTGTCGTGCCCCCTCCACCACCACCTACACATCCCCGCCACCTTACGAGCCAATCCTGCTTCAGTGATTGAGCGCTCTAAAAGGTCCCACATCGTACCGCGGAGAGCCGCATGGGAGCATGTAGTTGTAGTTAAATATTTTTATATTTAACCTCGTTTGAAGGGCATTCTAACGCAGCAGTACTTCACGTTTTATCGCCAAAAAAAAGATGAGTAATCTTTCCGTTCTGTTTTAGCATGTGTCATGATTGGGACACTTCATGTCGAACAGATTTTTCTATTTTTTATGTCCACCCTCACTACACGGGACGCAGTGGACGGGAGCGATGTTGGGTAGCTGGCGGGTACGAGGATTGTAGAGATTGGCCGACTTCGAAAAAGTTCACAGAAGTTGGAGGGCGTTTAAACAAGTAATGTTTGATTTCAGCAAAACGAAAAAAACGTTCAAACAAGTTTTACTGTCATGAAGTGAAGCGATACAAAAAGAAAAACCGCGTGACCTTGAGTCGCTTTTTTCTGTTTCGGAGTGGAGAGCTGGACAGGGATCCGTCATTTTAACTGAACCTTGCACACAGTTTTACGTGAAACTCCTAGTTTTTACTCTCGACTGCCAACTCATCCATGGTGATTGTGGGTTATATCATCAGGGCTTAATTTCAGCTGGAGCTGTCCGTGAGAAAAAAAAAATATATTAGGGTCTGTGGGTGGGGTGGAGTTTGTGGGGGTGGGTGGAGGGGTCCCGGAAAAGATTCCGTGAGAAATGAATCCGCCCGTATTTCTCCCTCGGCCCTGGAAAGGGGAGAGGCGGGGTGGCGGTATCCGATGCGGTACCCTTCTCCTCCCCCCCCCCCCCTTAAGTTTTAATTTCTCTTTTCCCTTCTGAATAAATAAAAATGAATATTTCTCTGGCCAGTGTATAATGTATCTCACCAAAACTGTGGCCTCTAGTAGAGTAGGATCTCTAGGTGTAACTTGCAGCCAACGGATTGTTAATTTTGTACTGTCCTGAGCCATTCTATCCTCACATTTCTACTGAATAAATGGCCGCGCTTCGCGTGTGTGTGTGTGACGGTCTACGTTACGACACATTTGTGGGTCACTGGTTGTGTCTCGTTTACTATGAACTTCTCCCTCTTATGTGATTGTGCATCGCTTGGGGGTTTTTGGCTACACTTTGGGGGGGGGGGGGTCATTCGTAAAACAGAAAGAGAGAAACCTAACGCTCATTTATTTAAGAGTGTTTCGCTTCAACGCGCGTCTACGCCTTGGTTCACGGAGATGTTGTCGTCGTCCGTCGTCGTTTTAATCTTGTTTTTGTTGAGACGTTCGCGTTTTCTCGTTAGGTTTAGTAGTCCCTATATAAAATAAAACATACTGAGATAAGCCATAACTTCATAGGCACATGAATGTAGTAATACAGCGAATGACGACGTGTTTCCATGCCAAAATCACAGTAATATACGCGTTACTGTTGACGTTATCGCGCGACTGAACAATCAACAGCACGTGTGTAGATAAGGCTTAGAGCGCATATCGACTAGACAATACCATTATACTAACCGCTTCAGGCGTTACTGGGCCGGCGATCCAGATCGCATATCGCCCAGTCAAGTGAATTAGCCTGCGATTATATTAATTGATTAATAATTATCGTGATTATTAGCTGATACTGCTGCTGATGCCGAGGGGCGTGTGTGAACCCCCCCCCCCCCCTATACCCCCACCGCCCCCTCCCCTCCCCCCGAGCAAAGGAGCTGGTGTCAGGGTGCGCAAAGCTCGTTAATGACCCCCAGCAGAACGGTGCCTTCGCTGGGCTGGGTTCGCTCATTAACCTTGATTGACCTTCGCGGCTGACACAGTTGGGCGCGTACTGCGATTCTTCGCTTGTGATTTTTTTTGTTTTCCCCCCCTCCGTTCGGAATCCACGTCTCTTGTTGTTCGCACGTGGCCGAATCTCGGCCTCGACTACCGATTATTTAGATTTTGGGTTTTTGTGTTCGTGTGTTTGCTGGAATTAACAAAGTGTAGGGGGGGGGCCTCTTTGATTGTTTCCTTTTGTTTGAACCGAGTCACGGTGGGCGATGGTTGTGTTGTTGAGTTGACCGCATGAAGTCCTTTTTGCAAAGTGCATCCAAGACAGTTTAGGCAAGAACTGAGAGGACCATGCCAATGGGGCTGGAGGACGTGAAATTGGCCGTGATACTTGGGTGCACTTTGCGAAACAGCAGTGGAACCTCAAATGGGTGCACCTTGCCTCTAAACGTAGCGTGGATGGGTTCACTGTAACATTTCAGGCGACTCGGGGACAACTCGAACTTTGCTATCCCACCTCTTGAATTTTCAGGCAGTCGCCTGAATGTCTACCGCCTGAATGTTCCAGGCGGGTGCGCAACATGTCGGGGATTCTACCTGATTATTATTGTTTTGTAAATGACGTTGCTGAGCATAGGCCTGAAGGCCGGCAGCGCCAAGCGGCCAGCAACAAAGAGCACTCAATTTCGAGCTGTCCCTAAGCAGCCTTGAAGCACTTCAGGTTGATTGCATGTTTTTGTTGTTGTTGAGAAGTGTGGAGGAACACACACACGGCACACCGCCCATAGGAGGCCGGGCGTGGTTTTGCTACAGTGTGCATACCAGGGAGTTTGCAGGGGGTGGGTATCTCTCTCGCTCTCATTTTGTATTTTATTTGTGAGCAGTAAGAATAGTTCAACAGTACATATACTGAAAGGGAGGTGTGGGTGTGTTAAGTATTCATTCAGAGGGAGTGGGGTGAGTGTTGGGGGTGAGGGAGTTGCATTGTCCAGATTGTACGCGATATTATGAACTAGATTATATGCGCTTTATATTTAGTGGGAGGGGGGGGGGGAGTAGCTTTCGAGGCGACGCCCTTCATCTTAACACACACACACAAAATCCATCCGCTGAATGTGGCTGGCGCGGGCAGGAGGCCGCGCGCGTTGCCGTTCGTTCGTTCGTCGTCGTCTGTCGCAACTCCGTGCTTTGCGAGTCGCCCCTCGCTCTCTCGCGGCGTCCCAAGTTGTGGTTGTCGCCGTTTCTCCCCCCGCCCCGCGACCCCGCTGTGCATGAGGCGTCTCGCTTCGCCGCCGTCGATTTTGCTCCATTTGTGCGCGCGCCTCTGGTTTCTGCTTCGTGATCATGGACTCTAGTTTACACGATTTTCTGCCAATAAAGGTTTTTTTTTTGTTTCGTTTTCTTAACACGTCACGTCGTCCTCGCGCTTTCTTGTCGCGTTGGCGCAAGCCCGTTCAAATGCAGAGGGGCGCCACGGTGGCTAGGAGATGTTAACTACCTCGCCTGCTATGCAGGAGGTCGTGGGTTGTTTGATCCCGACCCTGACGCCTGCTGGAAATTTGGAGTCTGCGTGTCTCTCTCTCATCATCATCACGGTGGCTGGGAGATGTTAACTACCTCGCTAGCTTTGCAGGAGGTCGTGGGTTTGATCCCGACCCTGACGCCTGCTGTATATTTGGAGTCTGCCTGTCTCTCTTCCCGTCGTCGCGTGGATTTTTCTCCGGGTCCTCCGGTTTTCCCCTCCACATTTAAAATCAACGTCACGCGTTTAGAGTATTTGACTTCTGTACATTTCCACGCGATGAGCCCACTTGGTTGAGCTATAATTTGTGATAGCCAAGTCTCTTCTGAAAAAGAGCTACACATAGCTCAGTGGGGCCTTAGCTGGTAACAAAAAAAAAGTTTTAGTTTAGAGATGCATCCGACCACTCGCCTATGGGCAGGGGTCGACAGCCTGCGGCTCTGTAAGAACCGTCTCGTATTGACGTGCATTGCGGATCTGGAATTATTGGCTATTCTTGTTATTTCTGTTTGCTGACTCCTGCGTATGGTAGAACGCTTGTGCGTTGTATGATATTGAAACGGCTTGGTTTCGGCCGGCGTATTGTAAACGGTAGTTCGGATAAGCAGTGCAGGGGCTGTACGCCGAATTGACCAATTTTGATTAGCCAAGCAGTGCAGGGTCCAATTCGGCCTAAGGCGCGCTGCGCTACGAACCCGGCGACCCGAGTTCGCTTCCCGCTCATGACCAACACCTGTGACGGTTCCTTGACCTCCCCTAGGTCTACTTAGCCTGAAATGAGTACTTTGTGCGGTGTGTAAACATCACCACTGGGGAGACAAAGGAGGCCTGGCGTGGTGCTAGCCACCCACCCCCTCGTGTGCCGTGTCGGCCTTGGTAGGTGCTGCTACTCCATAACAGCACTTGCCCCAAATTGTATTGGCCAATGGGCAACAACAATTTTTTTTAACGAAAATTGTACTCTTTCGCAACATCGCATCATTGGATTTCAAATGACTCCTGGCCCATTGAAAACTGGTGGAGGATTTATCCGGGACATATAGCCCACTCGAACATTCACGATGGCGGTTAGGATTTAGACAACATATAAACGATTCTGGGTTCAGAAAGATCTCCCCACAAAAAAGATGTTTATCCAACCGTAGCGACGTCATCTCCGGACAGCCAGACACAAGTCGTCTTGTTTCACTCCCTCCAGTCCAGTTTCTGAGAGCGTTCGCCGCTCGGGATGGAGGGTTCCGACCATGCAAGGTGCTGCTGGCTATCTTCCTGCAGAGAAAGTTTAGCCTGGTTGCCACTCGCTTCAACCAATGTCCGTAGCTATGTTGAATTTATTTTGCGCCGTAAGTGGCCAACTGTGCAGTGCCGGATTCTCGTAGTAGCTACATATGTAGTAGCTACACATGCAGCAGCTACACATGCAGCAGCTACACATGCAGCAGCTACACATGCAGCAGCTACACATGCAGTAGCTACACATGCAGCAGCTACACATGCAGCAGCTACACATGCAGTAGCTACACATGCAGCAGCTACACGTGCAGCAGCTACACATGCAGCAGCTACACATGCAGCAGCTACACATGCAGTAGCTACTACATGCAGTAGCTACACATGCAGCAGCTACACATGCAGTAGCTACTACATGCAGTAGCTACACATGCAGCAGCTACACATGCAGCAGCTACACATGCAGCAGCTACACATGCAGCAGCTACACATACAGCAGCTACACATGCAGCAGCTACACATGCAGTAGCTACACATGCAGCAGCTACACATGCAGCAGCTACATATGCAGCAGCTACACATGCAGTAGGGTCCCGCGCTAAATGCTTTCAAGCTATCAATTCCGGTTCAGTGATTCTGCACTTGCTCTATTACTATAGTACTATACCGCCTTCAACTTTTATGAACGACTGGGTGTTTAAGGTTAGCGATTTGTCGTATTATCTGTCAGTATATCAAATGAAAAATACTTACTTTACTATGCAAGTAAAAAATTGTGTTTTAATATTTGTGTTTTTATTTTATTTAGGGCCCCTTTATAACATATGCTACAGGTCTCCGCACAAGCTTAGTCCGGCACTGAAACCGTGCTAACCGGAGGTGCGGGGAAAGGACGACACACAATGCTGGTGAACCTCCAGATGTTTATAGGCAAATACCCTTCGCTGTCAGACACGGGTCCTCCTGTAACACGACCCTCGTGAAATAGTCCTACGACTCGGCGACGCTTTCCTGGCCAAAACAACGACCTGGCGGTGGTATAACTCGTTAAAAATCCGCGCAGTGCGGAGGGGGGCGATGTCACTGCACCGGCTGCCGTCGCCAGTAGGCGGCGCTGAAAGAGAAGACACGGGGGGCGGGGGAGGAGGCGAAAGTAGGGAGCGCTGGACCCGTCGGAGGCTCGAGGAGATGCCGTGGAGCCACTCGCCGGGTGAGAGGAGTCACTCGCCGGGTGAGAGGAGTCACTCGCCGGGTGAGGCGCCGCCTGAAATGTGGGAAATGTGAAATTGGGTCATCGTCACCGCTGTGAGGACGTTCACCGTCGCGATCATCGGGAGCCGAGTTGTGAAGGACTTTACACAGGAGGCGGGGCTCCGGGTGAATACAAGAAAACATTTTAGTGGTGATCGCGTTCGCGTGGATGACGATGGTGGTACGGCCAAAAACAGTGACGATGATTTATCTGAACCGGTCCTCGGCCTGCCAGAGGTCGACTCAGCCTCAAATGAGTATCTGGTGCGGTGTGTAAAAAAAAAATCACCCCTGGGGAGACAAAGGGGGCCGGGCGTGGTGCTAGCCACCCACCCCCTCATGTGCCGTGCCGGGCTTTATAGGTGCTCGCTAACAGGACTTGCCCCAAAAGTATATTCAGGCCATTCGGGGGAGTGGTGGTCATTTTGGTGTGTGTTGGAGAAGCGACACTCACAACGAGCGGAGCGCCGGGTGGCTAAAGCGCAGCAGGTTGGCACCGTAGAGGGTACAGGTGGTGCATCAGCCAGTCATCTCAGTCAGTCGACCCGTGGCACCTGGGTCTGCCCCGTGACCTGCCAGCGGGCGTTCGACACTTCACGTGGCCTCAACGTGCACCTAGCCTGGCACCAGCATCGTGACGTCACCGCCACTTCGTGGCGAATGGCGGTTGTTGGTGTGTGTTGGTGGTGATGATTTTGTTGGGGATGATGATGCTAATACTGTTTTTAGGATTGTGATGGTGATAGTGTTCCTGATGATGATCACAGAGATGGTTATCGTGTTGGTAATATTGATGGTGTCGCTGTTGGTGATGGCGGCAGTGTTGCTGTTGATGGGGGTAGATAGCGATGATGTTGATGGGGTTGCCGTTGGTGATGGCGACAGTAGGTCACGGTAGGGCTGAACACGCTTTTCTTGGAATCTCTGCTCCCCAGTGATGGGGAGGGTGGGTCTGGTGGGAGGCGATTGAGGGGCGGGGGTGAGCGGGGTGGTGTTTGTGACCAGGTGGGGTTAGTCAGGTGTTGGCAGTGGAGAGGGGATGGTTGGGGGGGATGGGGGGGTGTAACTGGGGTCCTTCACCCCCCACCCATCCTCTCCCCTTATCCCCCCCTCCTCATCCCCTGGAGCAGGTGGCGAAGCGGCTACTAAATGCGCGCATTCACGCACTTGAATCTGCTCTGGACGTGGTCCAAGCGCGTCTCTCCGCGCGCCTGTTCGCGCTAAATGAGGCAGCTCGCTCGGACATCTGTGAAAACAACGCGGGGAGGGAGGGAGGGGAGGGAGACTCCACAATTACTGCTGCAGCTGCGCGCAGGGAGCCACGTGTCAAGGGACGCATCAGGTGTGGAGGGCCCAGTGGAAGCGTTGTGTTGCAGCGGTGTGTGAGCGCGTGCGTGCGTGTTTTAACGTGTGTCTGTGTGTGTTGGGGAGCGGTAGCGTAGCGGTTTGTGCGCTGCGCTACGAACCCGCTCACGGCCAACATCGGTGACGATTATCTGAACCGGTCCTGGGCCTCCCCTAGGTCGACTCAGCCTCAAATGAGTACCTGGGGCGGTGTATAAACTTCGCCACTCTGGAGACAAAGGAGGCCTGGCATGGTGCTGGCCACCCACCCCCTCATGTGCCGTGCCGGCCTTCATAGGTGCTCGCTAACAGCACTTGACCCAACCGTCTGTTAAGACTATACGGGGAATCTTTGTTGGGAGCGGAAGTTCGAGTGGTTAGCGCGCTGCGCTACGATATAGGGCGAGCTGAGTTCGATTCATTCCCGCTTACGGCGAACATCTGAAGCGGTCATGGGCCTCCTCTCGGTCGACTCAGCCTTAAATGAGCACCTGGCGCGGTGTGTAAGCGTCAGAATTGGGGGAGACAAAGGCGGCTGGGCACGGTGTCAGCCACAACCATTTAGCGTCCATCACACCCCACGGGTCGACTCAGCCTCAAATGAGTACCTGGTGCGATGTGTGAAAAAAACATCCCATCCCCCGGGCGTGATGCTGGCCACCCACCACCGCCTCTCGTGTGCCGTGCCGGCCTTCATAGGTAGTACTCGCTAACAGCACTTGCCTCAACAGTCTGGGGATCTTTGCCTCTGTGGTTCCATATGTATTATATAGGTGGGCCCGTGTGATTGTGGGTTTGTGAATGAATGGAGGTGTGTGGGTGTGTCTCCATGTGCTTGTGTGCGTGAATGAGTGTGTGAGCCCGTGAATGTCCGTGGCCCGGATTAATATCAGCTCGCTTCCAAGAATTGTCCCAACAGTCGCACCTCCGATTTGCACGGTTGGCTACGTACGGTGCGAAAGGAGTTCAACATCCCAATACCGGAGATGTTGATAATTACAGGGCTGCAGTCAGGTGACCGAGAGGCCACGTGTGGGATACTTGAGGTGCACAGTGTCT